CCAATTGAAAATGACCAAATTCTGCAGGAATTGACCTGCAATCTTGGGGAGCTAAGCCAAAAGTATGTCATCACTGCATTTGTTGCTATGGCAACGTCAGCATACCATTGGTGATTTGGCGAGTTTGACTGATCGTATGCAGGCGAGAGAAACGCCATTCTAACTGATATTCGTTTTCATATGCCCAAGTCCCTTTCTAGGATTTCTCTCTGTAATATGTTACCCTAGAAAGACGACGAATCATGATGTGCTGTCTTATCCATGATATTCGACTTTCCAAAATACCTGGCAAATTAAACAATTTGAGTGGTGCATGAACGCTAGGGCAACGTGACCATACAATTGGCGATTTGCTAAGTTTGGCTTATCATATGGAAGCGAGAGTTATCCATTCAAACTGATATTAAATTGTTTTTTTTCTGGATCCTACTTGACAAATCTGTATACTTGCCCTCTAACCCTTTTTGGAGCCCGTATAGTCAAATTTGGCAAACCGTCGATGGACTAAAACGTTCATAACCCACTCAAAACGGGCTGTTTTTCACAATCTGGGAAGAAGCCGAAGAGCTCAGCTTTCTAATGCACAACTCGCCGAAGAGCAACGACGTTGCGTTTCAGAGATAACTTATCACGCTCCACATTTCAGTCGCGGAAAAAGTCGAACTTTTTCACAGTGCCGTGCCGTGATTACGGGATTTTCCCCTTGGATGAAATGCTCCCTGCACGTGGCCATCATAAAACTAAACTCAGCACAAAAATGTCAATTATTGAAACCTCCAAAATTCGGTGAAAGCTTAACAATTTGGACTTAGGTGTTTTTGTAGAGTGATCTGCTAGGGGGTGTAATACAAAGCAATGTCAGGGTTAAGTTCAAAAAGCTCAAAAAATGACATAAGCCCCCTTTCAAGATCTAGGGGCTTATAATTATAATCTTGGTGAACTGTCAATCATAACTCGTAACCTATTTATATTTAATTTCTCTTTACAAAATATCATTGGATCACCAACCTACTTCTATCCTTTCCACATTGTTTAGCCTGCATTCCTCGATCAACTAATCAAATGGTGTCTAAACCAATGGCTAGTGATATCTCTTGTCGATATGATGGTAAGTACCGTGCAGCAGAACCAGTGTGCGGAAGCACACAGAGGCAAGCAAACATATTCAGGGTCTGGATTCTTGATAATCACTAGGATCTTTGCAAATACAGTACCGCAGCTGATCTAAAAAAAATTCTCTTTGCTTTTCTCAACCCCCCCCCCCCCCCGGAGCCACACAGTTTTTTTGTCATCTAGGTCTTCCTTGCACTTGAAAACACCGCCATTCCGGCAACAGGCTCTCAGCTGCACCAAATAAATAACTTTGCCAATATTTCGCCCATTGGGCATCATCAGGGCATTGAGGAAGGGGAGGCCAAATTACGAAATATAAAGACGAATAATGCAGGCAGAGGAATGGTCTAGAACTAACACATCATGGTGACACAATTGGCAAGGCCAGCAAACTAAACAATCATCACTTGTAAGGTGACCTAAACAAAACGAAAGATGAGAAAACTCACACATACACACAGACACAATTTGGCAAGAAAACAAACACTAACACTAACACTAAAGTTTACAATCATCACCTGTAAGGTGACCTAAACAGAAGAAAGAAGACTAGTAAGACTATCACAGCACGTACAAGAACACTTTCAAGTGTGGGAATGCTAAAGGCGATCTATGTATATGACAGCGGTGTATGTGCAAAGTATGTGTATGTGCTGTGTCAGGTGGTAAAGTCCAGTGGTAGTTCGAGGAGATGGGTGTCGATTCCAGTGACGATCCGGTGACATCCAATCAGTCAATTAGGCGCCAGCCGTCATCGCAATTGACTGCTGGTTTGCGCTTCCTTATCTCGATAGCTTCAAGCAGTTTCCTTGATGGTAGCGAAGCCTCCCTGCCGAGAATCTTTGCCTGGTGGAAGGGCAGAAAGTTGGAAGACTTTAAAGATTCTCGACGCTGGGTACGATAGTGGAAGCCCCAGGGAGCCTTCGCTACCATCGCCCTTGCCTCTCGGTAGTGCTCAGCGAATCGGTCCCTCACCGGCCGCTCGGTCTCACCAACGTACAATTCCGCACACAACGTGCAAGACATACAATAGACAACACCTTTGACTAAACACTGACTATCCACCATACTCGCATCACATGCACGACACTCCATTGGTCGACCTCTCCCTCTCTTCACCTCCGATCGCTGCTTCTCACGGGGACACACACGTACAGCACTCGACGATCGGACCAACATATCCTTCAAAGAAGGACCAGACACAAAGACAACACGAACATGCGGACTGAACTTTCGAACACGTCGTGAGACACGAGCGGCAAGTGAGTCGTTGATGAAGGGCAGTTTGATGACTGACTTGAATTGGTTGTGTCTGCGCTTGCTGTCACGCTGCTGTTGTTGAGACGGGTGTGTATCTTGTCTCTTCCCCTTGGCTGCTCGTCGTGCTGCGTTTATCTCGGTGCGTGGATAGTCATTTCTCTCGAGCAACTCTTCAATTATGGACATGCTCCTGTCTTCCGCTTCCGGTGTTGACGAGTTACGGATAGCTCGAGAGAATTGGTTCGTTGCAACAGCTCTTTTACACGACCAGGGGAGACATGATTCATAGGACAGGTGGACACCACTGTGGGAAGGCTTAACATAGAGCTCCCACTCTATGCTGTTTCCACGCACAGACAGCGCTAGATCCAGGAAGTTCACTGACTGAGTTTCGTTGACCGAGTGTTCCATTGTGAATTTGATAGTAGTGTGCTGTCCGTTGAAGTGATCTAGAAGTGCTGTTAAACCTTTCCAGCCATGTCTCCACAGTAGTATGCAGTCGTCGATATATCGCTTGTAGAGATCTGGCTTCACTGTAGCTGTCGAGAGGGCCTTCTGTTCAAGCGCATCCATGAAGAGGATGGCCAGCGGAGGTGCCAGATGGTTCCCCATCGCAATTCCACGCTTCTGACGGTACTGTTTACTATTGAACTCGAAGTAGTTGTTTGACAGAACATACTGCAACATCAGCTGTACATCCGCAACCGTCAATCCAAGCATGTCGACATCATCTTTATGCTGCTCTAGCTTGGTAATAGCGGCCGAAATGCTCTCATCTATAGGAATGTTCGAATAGAGGCCCACTACATATTGGCAAAGTTATTTATTTGGTGCAGCTGAGAGCCTGTTGCCGGAATGGCGGTGTTTTCAAGTGCAAGGAATACGCTGCAATGGAGTTTGGGAATTCTGAAGTAACGTTTAGGTCTTCCTTGTCATTGGTATCTGCCAGCAACAAAAAACAAAACTAAAAACCTGTTTTACTATCCTTGCCTGTCTTTAAGCACATTGATGACTTCTGTTCCGTACCCTGGGTATCGTGAAGAAAAAATAACCCTCGCTCAATTAAAATGAAAAAAGGTCTGTACACTAAGTGATGTATTGCCTCTACACATAGACAAGCATCAGATTTTCATAAGCCACTCATTGCTACTTTGTCTCCAAGGTGTTTACCACGATGGCAATAAGTTCAATTGGCTACCACAAACGAGAGAGCTTGGAAGCTCAGGGCCCTACGCTATGCTTTTTTGCCTTGAGGACCTAGACAAAAAAAAGCATAGGGATGTTATAAATTCTTTAAAAATTCCTTTTTTACGACATAACCTGGGATTCGAACCCGCACTATGGCGCGCATACATACTAATTGTTCCAAGTTGCTTCACGTTATGATCTTGCATTTGAAAGCCCTATTTGAATATGCATTGTGGCCAGCCGTCTTTGATGGTACGGTACGGGATAGGTACGGGACAGGTTATCAATTTTTCAATTTTCCTATTTTTTCAGGCATATCCTGGGATTCGAACCCGCACTATCGCCCTACATGCATTCCCCATACACTGCGCATTCATACCCATTCTTCCAAGTTGCTTCACGTTATCATCTTGCGTTTGAAAGCCCCATTTGAATAGTGCGGCCAGCTGTATGTGGCCAGCTGTGTTTGATGGTACGGTACGGTACGGGACAGATACGGGATAACGCCAGGCGTGACACAAACAAACAAACAAACAAACAAACACACAAATACCAAACGAGAGAGCTTGCAAGCTCAGGGCCCTGCGCTATGCTTTGTTGCCTAGCTCATCGTGCATGTTGTTAGAACTGATGGAAATGCTTTTTCTCTTGATTAGCTACATCATTGTATTGCAAAAACGTTTCAATGAGATACTGAAGTACAAGTAACGCCTTCTGCATAGCTATGGGACCGGCGCTGACTCTGCCGATCACGGGCGTTCTGGAGTCGACGGGATGTCTGTCCTGACGTTTCCTGGGACCGGCGCTGACTCTGCCGATCACGGGCGTTCTTCTTCTTCTTATTATTATACTGACGGCACCTAACATCCATTCTGATTGCATTTACTCGTCTCCCTACTTCGTATTTTTTTCAAAAAATCTCCCCATACAGCAGGGAGTCGTTTACATAATATGACTCCCTGCTGTATGGGGAGATTTTCTGATTGCATTTACTCGTCTCCCTACTTCCTTTTTTTTTTTAGAAAATCTCCCCATACAGCAGGGAGTCGTTTACATAATATGACTCCCTGCTATAGATCTACATGACTGTATATACGTTATAATTATTCAATCTGATACGTTATAATTATTATGCTATCAGCCTACATGCGATCCCCGGGCTGGTCGACAGGCGGACCAGCCAGCCTGCTAGTGGGTTCTCGGCCTCGCACACAAATCCACACAAAATGTTACTGCACTGAATGCATTCCCCCGATACACTTCGCATATATACAATCTGGGAAGAAGCCGAAGAGCTCAGCTTCTAATGCACAACTCGCCGAAGAGCAACGACGTTGCGTTTCAGAGATAACTTATCACGCTCCACATTTCAGTTCTCTTGATGGTACCGTACTCTTGATGGTACGGGACAGGTAGGGGATAGCGCCAGGCATGTCGATGGCACAAACAAACAAACATATAGTAGCCAGCTGTCTTTGCTGGTACGGTACAGTACGGTACAGATACGGGATAGCGCCAGGCGTGACACAAACAAACAAACAAACACCAAATTAAAGCTGTGTTGACCCTGGCTAGCGCCAGACGTTACTAAAGTAACGTCTTCTGCATAGCTACGGGAATTAAAGCTGTGTGGACCCTGGCTAGCGCTAGACGTTACTGAAGTAACGTCTTCTGCATAGCTACGGGAATAATATTATATAATGCTCCCTGTTGGTTTCGTTGTGTGTGTGTGTGTGTGTTGGGGGGGGGGGTGGGGTTGTGTGTGTGTTCGTGCGGGGGGGGGGGGGGGGGGGTTCGTGTGTGTTTGTGTGTGTGTGTGTGCATGTGTGTTTATATCACTGCAGAGCTGATTGGCAACACAATTTGCAGAGAATCTGGCAGCATAACTAGAATATCAACTCCTGGCCTCATATTGAATTACATTTCTGCTCAAGCACTATGTGGCAGGCACAATGGTACAATCCTCTCTGAAGCGTCGTTCCACGCTTCATGCTCGGTTGGTTTAACCCACGTACACAAGGTTGCATGGGTAGGATCGCCAAAAGGAAATGTAGCACTTAACTCCAACTCAAAATATGTGGGCCTAGCGCAGCTTTTGCGTGTTGTGTGTGAAATACGTAAGTCGGTCTCCATTTTCTTTAGTAACGGTTGTGTGTCTTCAAAATTGTAAAGGACGCCTCGTGCAGCTTCAATGGGGGTGATTCATTTACAGGCAACTTGTACACACTCAAATAAGTACAGCACTTCTCACGTCATCTAATTATTTAAACGGTTTGATCTGCATGACCATCTTCCAGAATGAAGTGGCCATGGAAAATGTAGCGATATTCAAAGATAAGAAAGAAACAAGAGAGCGGAACAAAAGTGACAACTTGCATAAAAATAATTTCGGCTAAAGAGAAACGTGCTAAGCACATCACAACAGAAATGCTTATGATTCCTTATTTTGGAGGCGGCCAGACTAGTTTCGCAATATGTATAGGATATTGACCAAGACGAAATCAATATGGGAATTATAGGCCGAGTAAAAGACCGAGAAGTATATTTACTTCTTTTATAATAATCGTGCAATAACAGATACATATTATGGCAATCAGCAGGATCAGCGAAGCGGACATTGGACGTAATAATCATCAAAAAGAGAGATTCATCAGGGAAATATGTCTCAATAAGAAAATCTAGCAATAAACAGAGGAAGAGTGTGTTGCTCCCTACATGGGAGCTCACGGTTTTCCTGCCGACTTGAATTCTCACTTGACTACTTCACGACTGCTATGTAGAGCACACGAGAAGTCCATTGAACCGTTCACTCAGCAAACCTGCAAGAAAGCACCTGTAACGGAATCACAGCCATTCCGTTTCCAGGACGCAGGACACACAGGACAAGACTTGTTTGTTAATTAGAACCCGGATGGTGAGCCAATATAGTTATGATTAAGAAAGGAAAAGGACAAAATGTTACGAGTTATGACAAACTGTCCACCAACGTAACCAGATCTTATACAGCCAGCAAGTGCGACAAATTGGCACAAAACTGACAAGGAGTACTGAGACAATCGGCGACCTGACACCTAGCTCCGACACTTCTCCAAGGCGCAAACCAACAACCTTCCAACTTGGAAGGCTAACTTGGTCGCCGAATGTCTCAGTGCTCCTTGTCAGTTTTGTGCCATTTTGTCGCACTTGCTGGCTGTATAAGATCTGGTTACGTTGGTGGACAGTTTGTCATAACTCGTAACATTTTGTCCTTTTCCTTTCTTCATCATAACTTGTTTGTTACAATATTTATATTACCAAGACCGAAAAGCAAATTGATCTGGCATAGACGAACAAGAAGACTGACAAAAGGACTCTCGACTACAAAGTTGCGCATGCTCATATCACAATTGCACGCAACTAGACGAAACAGTTTGGGGAATGCCATCACACAGGAAAATAACACATCATTTTACAACACCTGCCCCCTTGACGACCTTCCACAAAATATTAAAACCGACACCACGTTCCACATGCACAACAGCAAAAGAAACCACAGCAACAGAGAAAAACCAAAACCAGATTACATTGTAGCACAACAAGATAAAACAACAAGGCAAAAGAACCCAGCGAAAACGCTCTAAAGAAAAACGGGCCACGACACAGGGCCAACCATAAACCTAGAGCCGAAGCTCTAAAATAAAATCCGGGCCACGACACAGGGCTATCCAAAAACCTAGAGCAGATGCCCTAATCACAGGCCACGCCACAGGGCCAACCAAAAACCTGGAGCCGACGCTCTACAAACTAGGCCCACACCACAGGGCGAAACAAAAACCTCAAGAACCGACGCTCAGGCACACAAGGCAAACCGAAACACAAAAGCCGAAGCTCCCAAATAATAGTTATCATATGCGCAGAAGCGCAAAAAAAATCTAAAACACAAAACAATGGAGAACAACAGAACGACGAGAAGAGCAACAGAACGACAACAACCAACTCAACCAATACAGAAACAAGCAACGGACTGAACAGCAAGAGAAACACGATCAGACAACACAGTGAGCAAGACAACAAGACAAACAACCAGGACGACACACAGTCGGTGAAACCAGACTCGTCCACTGGACTCTGATGAGCCAAGGCCACACGCTCCATCGCGGTTTCTGTCGTCCCAGGCTCCAGTCCACAGTTTTAGTCTCAGTCCATCGCCTCCTCTGCCTCCTTTCCATCGGCATAAGCTCCTATCAGCTCCCCATGTACTCCGCTCCAACGCTTACTTTTGACTTCAAAGTTACTTTGTTGTTGACGACGACGACAAGCATACTCAAGACAAGCTAACTCATCCGCTGCGTCCCGGGTTTTGGCACCACATTGTCACGAAATCACAGCCATTCCGTTCCCCGGGAGGACAAGACTTGTGTAAAGGTCTGCTCTCGATATAACAACTCTCACTTGTACATAAACCTCGCTAGTACATAAAAAATCAAATCCCGCGCCGAAACAGCATCACTCCCATACAAATTGTGTTCTACACAACATAATCCTACGTAACATAAACCTCGACATAACACACGCTACCGCACGGTCCCCGACGTGTGCACTCTCGATACAACGTAACAACAGTTTAGTCCTGCATAACGTAAACCTCGGCATAACGCACCCTATGGTGCAGTCCCCAGCGTGCGCACTCTCGATACACCGTAGATTCACATGCGCGGTACAATCAAGCTGTAGCCGAAGCTAGCCTTTTTGTAGTCCTGACTATTGACTAATGTGCATGTATTCTGCGGCATTGATGGTATCTGATGTCGATGGTGGTACAGTGTGTATATGTTTGCACGGTTGAACCCGCCTTGTAATACCCTTCATTTCGATGTATATCTTGTATTTTACACACGGTTTTCTACATAACATAACTCTTGATATAACATAATTTTTGCGTGGTCCCAGAGATTACGTTATATGCAGAGTAGACCTGTATTACATTATTTATTTTTAAAGGACGGAAAAGCAAACCCAGCAGTGCTCTGACAGGGACGGACAAGACGGCCACGTCCAAAAATCCAATCCTACACCATCACTTCCTCCCAACATCTACCCCTACACCCCCAGGTTATAATTTCAAGTTGGTGCCATGGTGCGTTAGGGATGACCTGAATTCTGAACTTGCTGATGTCCACTGGAAATGTCACCTCCGCAGCTCGCACGTGGATGACGCTCTTTCGTCTTTCCACTCTATTCTTAGCAGGGCCATGGAGAAGCACCTCGGGTACTTCTCCCGGCGTCCACTGTCCCCCTCATGCCGACGTTTAGGTCAGCCACGTTGGGTTGATGCCCCCCTCCGTGCCGCCATTAAGGCAAAGCACGATTTCTACAGTGTGTGTAAGAAATACCCAACCCAGCTTAACATGCATGTATATCGATCTCAACGGAACTTGGTGAAGAGTCTGACTCGATCGAAATACCGGGGACACATTCGGTCCGCACAAGCTACGCTGCAGGACAAAAACCGCCCATCACTGTTTCAGTTCGTGAACAAATTAAAAAATCATAAAGTATCTCGTGACATCCCGACACTCACCATTAGTTCTACGCAGCAGGCTACTACCTCTTCAGCTAAAGCCACTGCATTGAACTCTCAGTTTGCCTCAGTGGCCGTGCCTGATGACCCTTCTCTACCCATTCCCCCCATTGCCGAGGAGTCAGGTGAGGTTGACCGTCTCACATCTGTCTTTACTACGACTGCTGCCATTCGACGTTACATTCGAAAGCTCCCGTCTGACAAGGCTCCGGGCCCAGACGGCATCACTAATCTGGTATTAAAGTCCCTTGCGCCCTCAATAGCATACCCCTTATGTCTGATTTTCAACCTATCATTCCGCATTGGTCGTTTTCCCTCTGCATGGAAAACAGCTAATGTTATACCGATGTACAAGAAAGGGTCCCGCCACGAAGCATCAAACTACCGTCCGATATCTCTACTGTCCTGTGTTTCCAAACTCTGTGAGCGCGTTTTCTACGACCAATTGTACTGTCATGTCTCGTCACGTTTGAGTTCAGCTCAGTCCGGATTTCGCAGAGGCGATTCTACCACCCTCCAGCTGACGCGCCTGGTGCAATTAGTGTGTCGACATCGGGATGCTGGAGATCTAGTCGGGATCTGTTTTTTCGATCTTGCCAAGGCCTTCGATACCGTCTGGCACCGGGGGCTTTTGGCCAAGCTTCGTGGATCATTTACTGTAGACGGCAATCCCCTGCTATGGCTGACATCTTACCTAACTGGGCGAACCCAGTACGTCACGGTACATGGGACGTCCTCGGCCGACACAACAGTACTATCCGGAGTTCCCCAGGGTTCCATCCTCGGCCCCCTTCTTTAATTTTATACGTCAATGATCTGCCCGCAGCTGCCCCGGGCACATCACTGTTCGCAGATGACACAACGCTCCTACGGGCATCTCCTAACATCACTGGCCTGATGAGTAACCTAGCTAATGGGATTCAAAGAGTTATTTCCTGGATGTCGTCTTGGCGGTTATCGCCCAATCTGTCTAAAACTAAAATCATGCTCTTTCCTTCTCAGCCCGATGTTCCGCCCCTCCTCCATCCCACTTTCCCCCAGCCTATAGACATAGTCTCCAGCCATAAGCATCTTGGCATTTTCATTGACTCTAATCTTTCATGGGAACCCCACATCGATTACATATGTAAACGATCAAGTTCATCTTTAGGAATTCTCTCTCCTCACTGTTACCATCTCCCAATCTCTTGTAAACTCCTCTTTTACTCAGCTTACTTACGCCCCATTTTTGATTATGCAGATACTGCTTGGGCTGGAATTTCCACAACCCGTGCTGCCAAGCTCGAGATTCCTCCTCCGAAAACCCCGCATGCTTCCATCTTCCACCCTTTATGCCCTTGCTGACACTTCCCCTTTGTCTAAGAGACGTAATTCACATCTTGTCACCCTTATCCATTCTCTCAAACTCAATCTGTGTCCACCTCACCTCCACTGTTTCAACTGGTTCTCTTCCCGTAGCACGAGAAACTCCCTTTCCCTTCCGAAACCTAAGTCCTCCTTTCTACTTCACTCTCCCTTTTTTATTGCGTACTCTGCGTGGCTGGCACTTCCCCAAGAAGCTAAGGACCTTTCTTCCCTCCGCCTTTTTAAGAGCCTTGTCGCGCCTTGATTTTGATTTTGTGTTTCTGATTTGGTTGCAATCACTGCTTATCCATGCCGGTTCCTTTTTCTTCTCCTCCCCTTCTCCCTGCCTTGCCGTGGTTGGCTAACACCCTCTCTCTTTGTATTGGCCGGTGTTCTCATTGTGCCATGAGATGCTGTAATAAATATAATAAATAAATAAATAAATAAGAAAGACAAAAGGATTCTCGACTACAAAATCGTGCATGCTCATATGAGTCATACTCCACTTGCACGCGACTAGACGAGACAGTTTGGGGAATGCCATCACACAGGAAAAACACACAACATTTTACAACACACCACTCCCTGCTCAATACACAGTGTTTCGGGGAATTCATCCCACATCAGTTGAGCTTGAGTAGGTCGAGGAAGAATGTGCCTGAAAAGCACCACTTTTATAGTGCTCTCCAGGCACAAGCATCACCAGGGATACAAACTTACAGAGACGCTCCGTTTCAATCGCGACAAACACCTTGTGTACACCACATAGCAACGTGAGTCTCATGGAGGCACGAGAGTTAGTCAAATGAGAATTCAAGTCGGCAGGAAAACCAGGAGAAAAGAAGGTGAATTGCGAACGACTAGAGAAGTGTGAACTACTAACAGGGGTGGGCGGAGAGAAAACAATATTATGAGGACGTGAGAAATAATATTAATAACAATGTGAGACTCCGAGAGGGTGAAGTGCAAGGGGTACGTGCGTGGGTATGAGAGGGGGGGGGGGGAGGTGTATGTGTGTGTGAATGCTAAGGGACTAGTCTGAGTTTAGTGACATCCTCTTTCTGGATGCATAGCTTGGTGTTATATTTGCCAATGAACACAGCTCTAAATACTTTATGCTCACTAAACCTATGAGCACGGCACAAAACAAGTGCCATCATAAACTGAAGGACACTGACTGTTGGACAACAGGCGTTTCATTATACTCCTTGCACTTCACCCTTTCCGAGTCTCGCATTGTTATTATTTCTCACTTTTTATTTTACTCCGAGATTTTCCCTAGCCAGATTGCACATTAAGCGCTCATTAAGCACTCTCAAGATACTGACGCTAAAATACTAACTGGACCATTTCTTCATTTTTGTTATTCTGTGCACAGCGCTGTACTGTAACGTACCTGTCATTGTCAATGGCACTGCTGACAGAAACGTGGTCCGATTCACGCACAGTGTTACCTATTCTTGCCAAGAGGGTCAGGGAATCGTGGGTGATGCCACACCAAATTGCACGGCTAATGGAAATCTCACTTCAGTGCCCTACTGTGATGGTAAGGGTTCGGATGGATAACGAAATAGTGAAAAAGAAATATAAATTTATAATATGCAAATAATCGACGTGGAGACAACAATTTTATAATAGCAATAAAGAGAACAAATTCTGCAGTCATCGCCACACTACAACGAAGTCATGAAATTTTACCAGAATTAGTTTTCTTGTCACATTCATCAGTGGAAAGTCGTGACTTAAGAGTAACCATGCTGAACAATGATTAAATATACATTCAATGATGTGTTACGAGAACAAAATACAGTGCCAAAATAGAAAGAGGGAAGGTGAGACAATATGACAACACAGTTCGAGTAGAGAAAAAGTTGAATAGTTTTCTCAAGAGACTTAAAGAAAGTAAACAGATATCGGAGGAAGAGTTTTTCAAAATGCGGCCCATTGGTCTCTATGGGCTACCAAAAATACATAAACCGAACTGTCTGTTGCGCCCTATATTATCCATGGTTGCATCACCGCAATATAATATCTCTAAATGGCTGTGTAGTTGGCTTGACATCGTGCAAACGTTCTATTGCAAACATACAGTTAAAGACACCTTCGAATTCATTGACGTCCTTCGCTCCCACCCGGTTCCGGCCTCCCTGCATATGTGCTCGTTTGATGTTGTGAGTCTGTTCACGAACGTCCCGTTAGAAGAGACTATCAATATTTGCCTAGATGTGTTGTACCGAAATGATGAAGTTGACACGCCATGGATATCGGAGACGGCATTCCGGGAACTGATGTTGCTCGTGACGACTGGTGTGGAGTTTTCTTTCGGTGACATTATGTACAGGCAGGTTGATGGGGTAGCCATGGGCTCTCCATTGGGTCCAGTTTTAGCGAATGTGTTCGTTGGTTACTGCGAGTCACTGATTGCAGAACAGTTGTGGCTAGCATTGTACGTTCGTTTTGCTGATGATTCCTTCAACTGGTTTGATTCTCTTGAAGATAGCCAAATCTTTCTTGGTATTCTAAATGACCTACATCCTTCCATACGTTTTACGTGTGAACACGAAGAAGCGAACAAACTTCCCTTTCTAGACGTCCTTGTGGAAAAGTCTGGTCAGGGTACCGTAACATCTGTGTACAGAAAGCCTACATTCACCGGCCAGTACATAATGTTTGACTCGTATTGTTCGTACCAATACAAGGAGAATTTGGTGCGTACCTTGGTGGATCGAGCAGAGCGTATTTGCTCCTCTTCCAAACTAGCTGAGGAACTGGACATCCTTAAGTCTGTTTTTCTAAAGAACCGGAACCCCGACGATCAATTGAAGGAACTCATGAGCGAAAGGCTGCAGAAAAAGGAAAAAACGTTTTGGCCCGGACAAATGTCCCACGTATCTTTCTCTCCCCTGGAAAGGTAACCTCTCATTATCCATGAGTCGCGGTGTACGGAAAATTGTACAGCAAACTTACTACGCGGTACATGTTGTACCCGTTTTCCCAACTGTACGTGCGTTCACGGTGAGGAAGGATGTCCTACCAACCCAACTTGCATCTAAGTTGGTATACCAATTTGAGTGCCGACAATGCGGTAGTCGGTACGTTGGTAGGACTCCTCAACATCTGAATGCACATATCAAGCAGCACGTCCCACTGCATATGCTGACTGGCTCGGCACGGGCACTGCGACCCAAACGCGGCAGGCCACTGAAGAACCCTCGGCCACAGCCATCGTTAGCACAATTTCCGTCATCGGCAATAGTGCCTACATTACCCGTATCGAGAGCCTTGGAGTCGGGTAATGGGCACACCGTAACCACAACACAATGCACCATAGCAACACAAGATAACTTACCACAACAACATTCAACTCAAGACCAAAGTGGACGCTGTGATGAGGTAATGCCCTCATCGCCGTCTTTGCCGTTGCCTCCCCAAAACCGCCACCTACGTCTATCATCGGCGGTGCTGGGGCTGAGTCTGTGGTGTCGGTGGCACGTGCATATATGGATGAGGCAAGCGCTGAACGTGAACAACGAGAAAGAAGGCTGAAGGGAATGGAATTCAACAAAGAAAGTAACACAATCAACATTCAAAGACCTAGACGATCAACAGCTAATTATTCAATGAATTATTACAGTACTGGAGATCAAGCACCGGCGATGACACTGTGAACACAAGATTCAACAACAACAACAACAACAACAACAACAACAACAACAACAACAACAACAATGGTAACAATTTACCATCAAGATCAAAGGAGGAGTCAACGAACAGAGGTTAAACAACATGAAGCGAGCCTGGGACCGATCGGTGTTGATGAGGGGAACGACACGGAGGACGACACTGGGGACGAGTTGGGAGATGAGACGGAGGGCGAGGTTGCGGTTGTTGAAGACGAGGAATCAGATGGTGATTGTGATCGTAAGAAGTCTGCCGTTTTTCTTCACTTGTTGTCTCACCCTAAGTGTCTGCAGTTGTATGATGATTTTAGTTTTTCTGTTCTTTGTCGTGCACGGTATGCTAGTCAGTTGAAAGTACTTGAGGCTGTTTGGATTCGTTTGCATAAGCCTGATCTTTGTAAGCAGAAGAAACATGTACAGTAAAACCTGTAACTAACGACCACCCCTTGGTGCCCGGAAAAGTGGTCGTTAGTGGCAGGTGGTCTTTAGTTAGAGGTTTGCACCACGCTACCATATATGGATCCCTTTATATGATATGTATGTCAAAATGCAGATAATACAATCCCCCACCACTTGCGCACTGACATTCTTCTTTCAGATCATACAACACTTGGAGAGAGAGAAAATCAAGTTTTTTATACACCGGAAGCGATACGACCTTTTGACACGTACATGTGTGTCGACTCACTGGGTTTCCAGAGCAGCGCTGGCCTGGCCAGGCAGTGGACTAGTCACTATCGACTCCATCATCATCTGTGTGCGACTACACTGGCAACTGGTATAAGTGTGTAGATCTACAGTGGAACTGGAAACTCAGTCGCTCCGACTTGGATGTAGTGTAGCGTAAACTGTACTGGTGTATACCAGTACGTGATGCGGCGATGTTGCGAGTTTTCGCACCTTCCCTGTAGAGTGTAGACTATTATCCGCCATCGTATCCTGGCCTGTGTTCCGTACAGGTGAGTACATAATACTGTAGCATGCTAGCTAGCCAGCACAGACTGTCAGTGTGACCTGGTGACTGAGCTGTGTGATTGCACTTCGACAGAGAGCCGCTCAGTCTTAGACTTAGTTTCTCCTTCGAGTAGTAACATCGATCAAAGAGCGCTTTGGATGCGCTCTCCAAGACGTTTCCTATCATGTTTGTTCTTGACAGCACTTGAAATTATGACAGGTGTAGTGCAGTCCACACAGATTCCACAGTAAAAATGAGACTGCGCTCATTTGTCCAGCTGTAGTATCGAAACGACCATGGAAAATCATCAAAATTTCGAGAAGGAGCTTCAAGCAATGTTTGATTTGCTACATCGCGGTCGCTAGTTACGGGTCAAAATTCGACATTGGGACAAGAAAAGGCGGTCGCTGGTCGCGTTCAGCAGGTAGTCGCTAGTCACAGTGCATTTTGAATGTGAGACCGTCCGTGCCTGACAAAGTGGTCGGTAGTACCAGGCCGGTCGCTAGTCACGGTGGTCGTTAGTTACAGGTTTTACTGTAGTTAAAAATGTAGTTAAAATTGTTTTCGTAGGTGCACAGCATGATTGTTTGTTTCACTACACAGTTTTAGGGATATAATTGTTAGTTTTTCACCCGCACTTAGCTCTCATTTCACTTCTATTGTCTCACCTTCCCTCATTCTATTTTGGCACTGTATTTTGTTCTCGTAACACATCATTAAAATGTATATTTAATCATTGTTCAGCATGGTTACTCTTCAGTCACAACTTTCCACTGATGTATGTGACAAGAAAATTAATTCTGGTACACTTTCATGACTTCGTTGTAGTGTGGCAATGACTGCAGAATTTGTTCTCTTTATTGCTATTATAAAATTTATAATACTCCAACTACGTACGTTTTTTCTTTAGTTCCGGAGAGTTTCTGCCAGGGAAAATACCCTCACTAGAACAGTCAAAGGTAATAGAGATTATTTCCGTTTAAGAAACCGACGGGGAGAAAAAAAGTCGTAAAATAGCAATGAATAAAACCAATTGTGCACTCATAACCATGTATTATCACTCTCTTAGTATTGACTCCCATTGATTTTCGCTATACCTAAGCAGTCAAGTATTCCTGCATATTTCACTCCTTAGGGCTATATTGAATGGATATATTTGAAAAATATAAGCAGAAAAAAGTTATAAATTTATCATACTCCAACTATGAACTTTTTTCTTGAGTTCCGGAGAGTTTCAGGCAAGGAGAATACCCTCTCTAGAATACAAGTAAAGAAAAAATATAGTAGTAAAAAAATAGGGATAATTTCCATTCTTCTTCTTTTTCTTCTCTTGACCTTATGTCCAGTTCTCAATTGCAGTGTACCTACTATACTATTGGGAATGATAAATGATTCACTCACGCCGCGTACTGGCATGAGTAACGCTAGACTCATTCACGCTGGTGATACTGTTCAGTACACATGTGAGGATGGGTACTTTTTTCAAGGAAGTCCCACAGTTACATGTTTTGGTGATGGTAGTCTTCGTCCAGTACCAATATGTTATCGTAAGTACTTCAATCATGTACATTATTTCTTGCTTGTTTCTTCGTCATATACCTTGCTCTGCTTTTCTGGAAGCCGTACTGAATGTTGTTGTCTCATTTACTTTTTACTTGACTCCGAGAACTCTTACGCAGATTGCGCATTTATCGCTTTCAATCAACAACATATTCAAATCAAGTACTTCCTCCGCGTCATCGAAATTGTCACAGTTTGACTAGTAACTTGTCACTTGTTACTGACAACTCCATAAGAAAAACCATTCAAAATTTATTACACAGTATGATAGTCTGAAGACTAGAGTAACGTTCTAGGACAGTTGGACTGAGAGTTTTCATGCAGAGATGAAGTCCTCGTCGTCGCTGGTGTCAATGGACGCAAAAATATCGTTCCGAAATATTTCAAGGAAGGTTAAAAGTTGGTCGCGCCTCATCTCAAACACTTTGACTTTCTCCACAGGACAAGAGCTGCTATGCTTGTCGTCTGTTAGCTCTGGATGATTTTTACTTCAACACCAACGAAGCCTAGTAAGAATACACGTACGTTGCGAGGTCGATTGATTACCGTCGGCGTAATCACCTCGATCTTGAAATGAACTTTTTTTAGCAGTGGCCTGCCCATTTATTTTAGCTGTGTGGTCACAGCTCATGTAGCCTGGTAAGTGTACTATCACGTCCAGCGAGCCCTCTTTTTCAGCATCACTGGTATACCATGGTTCGGCACCGGCGCGTGCATCACTAGCATTACGTGTAGAGTCTACACGGCTCTTGCAGGTACAATCATGTACTGAGTGTCTCAGCCAGAGCGACAAATTATTTTATCGCTGTTGCAGGCATTTAGTTTGCTGACCCCTCGATGTTTCTCCAAGCGCTGCCTCTTGTTCCACGAAATCAATCTCACCCCAGCTAAGGTAAAACAGTGATGAGGCTTGAGTGAATGGCCATAAGCATGAGAAATGTGCAGGCTTCAACGCCTGACTGATCTCAGCGAGTCGAAATTACCATCGCAGCGACATCAGCAAAGAAATTGCGTCTGGTTCAAAAATTCCAGCTTCCAATAACAGAAAATAGAACTTTGCCGTCACCCTATACTGATGACTATCGCCTATGTCCGATTCCTTGCCTCTGGTACGAGTGCTGGTGAGTAAATACCCCGGTTTATATCAAAAGCCAGACTGCGACAATTTCGATGACTCGGAGGAAGTAAAAATAATAAATCTACCATTTTTTTGTTATTCTGTGCACAGCGCTGTACTGTACCGTACCTGTCATTATCAATGGCACTGCTGACAGAACTGTGGTCCGATTCACACACAATGTTACCTATTCTTGCCAAGAGGGTCAGGGAATCGTGGGTGATGCCACACCAAATTGCACGGCTGATGGAAATCTCACTTCAGTGCCCTACTGTGATGGTAAGGGTTCGGATGGATAACAAAGTTAATAGTGAAAAAGAGTTATAAATTTATAATACTGTAGTAGCTGGCCCTCGGAGACAATTTCACACACTCAAACAAAGCACTCACTTTGTAGTTTCACGAATACTCGTTAGGACAGAATTATTAGTTTAACACACCCGGCAAGTAAAGATAAGAAGTGAAAAAGCACAAGAAAAGAACAATGCAAGAAGACAAAACACGCGGCGAATGGCAGCCATGTTTTTAGGTCATCAACCAATCAGTAATTTATATAAACCGGTTGCCGACGAAACTCTAGAATATTCCAGAGCTGTGAACTGTGATTGGTTAATTATGCCAATGTTCTAGAACAATAACACTAGCAGCAGTCATACGGGTAAATACGGGTTTAGCCATACACGACTCATACATTACTCACGAGCGACTCACGGAAAGGGTAATAACATGCAGATACAAAATACGCAAGGAGAGAAAAAATGTAACTAACTGCCCAACTTGGGGTTTGAACCTAGGAATCTGTATCAACACAAGCTCTTCAAGTGAATACTCTTTTACTGCGAAAAATATACTTTATATCAAAATGCAACTCCTACAATACTCCAACTATGAACTTTTTTCTTGAGTTTCGAAGAGTTTCAGGCAGGTAGAAGACCCTCACTAGAACAGTCAAAAATAGGGATGATTTCCATTCTTCTTCTCTTTCTTCTCTTGACCTTATGTTCAGTTCTCAACTGCAGTGTACCTGCTATACAATTTGGAATGATAAATTCTTCACTCAGGCTACGTACTGGCATGAGTAACGCTACACTCATTCACCATGGTGATACTGTTCAGTACACATGTCAGGATGGGTACTTTGTTGAAGGAAGTTCCACAGTTACATGTTTTGGTGATGGTAGTCTTCGTCCAGTACCATTATGTTATTGTAAGTACTTCAATCATGTCCATTATTTCTTGCTTGTTTCTTCTTCATATTATGCTTTGCTGGAAGCCGGGCTGAATGTTGTTGACAGAATGAATGACCCGCATTTGATTGTGTTGATACCTTTTTAGGTTGCATGGTGATTGCAGCAGGGCCAATCCCGGTTTACTGTAGGGAGAGGGCTGGTTGGGGGGGGGGGGGGGGCGAGGGGGGGGGGGGTAGGGCCACGCTTGATAGGACAATGTTAGTTGAGTTTCAAAAGGAACGAGTCTATATTCTCGGAAGGTTCAGTGTTATTACTAACTCAAAACCTTCAACGCTGGAAGTCTGTTGGAGTGCACATCCAAGATATGTTAAAGCTGATTGACAGTTAGGTGTAGACCGTCAGTACCATTGGTCAGTGTCGTGCATTGTTGTCGCACGAGAGGTTTGTTTAGTAACTGGTGGTGTTTGGGGACATTATAGCGTAACTTGTAGTTCCTTGGCCTTCATTTCTACTTATAAATGATAATCCTTGGCTCTGCAGCCGAGTCTAACATTGTTCTTGTTATCCTTTTTCTGCATGCAGTTCCCAAATGCAGTGTGCCTACTATTGCACACGGCACTGCTGATAGGATGGATATTCAGTATAATGATACTGTTATCTATTCTTGCAACAAGGGATTTTTGCTTGAAGGTGATAGCACACCAAATTGCACCTTCAGAAACAAGCTTTCTTCCGTACCAATCTGCGTTGGTAAGTATTGCCAGGAAGTTTCTGGTATGGAAATAAAGTTTTAAATAGCAATAAAAGAACAAATCCTGCCGTCATCATTGCTTTTTTGTTTTTAATTGTTTTTATACGCAAGTCCACTATATTTCCAAATATGTGCGAGAAGTGGTGGTGAGGCTGGGCTGCTCTGCCGATCTTGAAGGTCTCGGCGTCTACATAGACTCACGCGTGACATAATGCAGTGGAACCATAGAGAGTGAGGAAAAATGAATAATAGTGAGGAACGAAGACAATTGGTAGATGGTCATGAGAGAAGCAGAGTGAAAGATAACGTAAATTATGGTAGGGGGGAGAGGATGCTAGTGAGGTGCCGGTCTAAACCATTGCATACGTCGTCGGAAGAAGCAGAGTGAAAGATAACATCGCAATGTGGGAAGAAGGGAGGGGTATGCTAGTGAGGCGCTGGTAAAATCCGTTACATAGGGCGTCGGTGGCTGGTTGCCAGTTCAGGTGAAGCTGACACTTGTTGAACGTTCCCTTGAAAGAGTTAGACTATAGGTGTCTGGGTTGCGGCCGTGCTGGTAGAATGATCGCTAGTAGCCTGTTCCACCAGGGAATAATGCGGTCTGGGTAGGAACCCTGGAGGCTGCTGCAAGTGCGCATGGGCAATGTTGACTTGGTCCGGGGCTGAAGGTGGAAGGATGGGCTTTTTTGTTGGAAGGTAGGTCAGATTGAAGGTGAATGAAAGCGCAGCAACCTGTCGGCTGTGTTTCCGGCTAGGGAGCCAGGCGCCTGGGCCAATCACCTTCTGTGTATTGTGTTACGTTTTCCTGGATGTGCTTGACCCCATACACACAAGGCAGCAGTATTCCATTGTTGGCCGCATGAAGCCTTCGTAGACTGCTGTGCAGCCGCTAGAGTCCAACAGGGGGGGAGTCCAAGCACAAAAAGTGGAACTTTCTGTTAGGAGAGCACCAGTTCATTGGTGCGGATGGTAGCAAAGCCCACGGGCTGAATGCGGTCTTGTCCATGCTGCACTACTATTTAGAACATGCAGGTGTGAAGAGGGCACTCCATTTTCATGCTCACAACTGTACGGGACAAAACAAGAAGAAAAGTGGCATGGCTTACCTGATGTGGCGGTGTCTCACGGGGCTCAGTGATAACATCACCATCTATTTTATGCGTGTGGGGCACACACGTCGCGCTGTCGATGGCTACTTTGGCTTGCTGAAGCGCCGATGGCGGTCGAAACAGAACGACAAGATGCAGGACGTGGAAAACACAGTCAACTCATCGCGTGGGCCGAACAAAGCAGTGATGTTCTCCTGGAGCTGGCTGCAGTAGGATGCTTTTTTCTTGAAGTGGCATCAAAGGCATCTTCAACTACCAGTATTTACGCATGAACAGTGAAAATGCAACCCACATTGAGTGCCGCGCAATACATAATGGTTAAGCAACAAAAATCGCAATCAGAGATGGAGTCGCTGCGCCAAAAGATCCTGAAATTCTGCCGCCGGAATTGCCTGCGAAGGGGCTTTCAGATTATTGAAAAACCTACCAAGAAAAATAAATCTCTCCTTTTCTCTCAACTGAAACTGGTGAAGACCTGCCATGGGCATAGTTCATGTGCTTGACCTCCTGGAATCGCAATGCTTAGACCAGAAACGATGACATACATTTCCTGAAATACAGAGTTTGTATCTGTAAGTGTATAATGTGTCATATGGATCCCACATTTCAGCAATTGTATAAAATACTGACGAAGTGAATGACCTGATGTTATTATTGTTATTATCAGCCTTTTCGCCTAGGCCAACTGGAATGAAGAATGAGGAACGAGCGGGGTCAATGAGGTGTTAATAGTAATTCGCATGCAACAGCAGAGTAGAAAAGAAAGAAAATTATATCAAAAACAATCGAAAAGCACATGAACTGTCAACTATTTCCTTCAACATAATAAAAAAGGAAACCTGCTGACTACTATACTGTGGGTATGATACATGTACAAATAATTGACGTACACAGTGTCAGAAGCCGCAAACATAATACAGGTTGAGTACTGGCGATCAATTTGTAGGCCTTGCAAGCTGTTGAATGATCCAATTCCAGCACAATTTGCTCGGGCTTCTGCTGTAGGATGGGTCACCCGTCAAATGTGTACGTATGTGTGTGTGTGGGGGGGGGGGGGGGGTAGGGTGGTGGTGGGGGTAGGGTGGTGGTCGGGGGGGGGGGAGTGGAGATGGGTGTGGGGGGGGGGGGGGGGGTAGGGTGGTGGTGGGGGGGGGGGGGGTGGGTGTGTTTGTGTGTAAACGTTCAACACTATTACTCTGACTGTTGCTGTTGTCTGTTGTGTATGATTTCAGTTGAAATACCAGACCATTATCAGTACTGCAGCGGAAGCTCCTCTGTAACGTTTTTAGATGACTCGAAAAGGACTTACACCGAAGGGCAAGAATTGTGCAAGTTGCATAATGGAAACATCATCTCGAAGTCATCGGTCACAGCTGGCTGTTGGTACGGAATAGGATATCATAATTTGAAAGCATGGAGAGAATCAACAGGAAACGAGTTTCACGATTTACAGGGCAAAAATATGACCGGAGCTAAGCTGTCCACTATTTGCGAAATACGTAAGTCATGCACCTATTCACTTGGAAGGCACATTATTTTAGGTTTAACACTGTCGAGAGTGAGGCAGCCAGCATCTCGCGGAAAGCTGTTGTGATCCAAGTAAGTGAACACAGCGAAAAATGACTGCATTAAGAACATCCTGAAAGTTTTCAAGTTCACATGCGACTGGGCACGACGGGACGCGACGCAATGATCGGGAAACGACGAGAAAAGTTGAATCGATCCAACTTTTCATGCAGTAGATGGGCGTAGACGGGGACCCAAGTGTACAAAGCAGCTGAATTTTGAGTGTGATCAGGAGGCGGTGTCGTGCACTGACTACTCCCGAGTCTTGCTTGGAAATTTCTAGCATTCCGAACACTGCGCTTCCTTTGACTCGCATAATGGCTAACACGGCTTGAGTTGAATTTGAGAAAAGATAAAGTCTGATGTCACGTATGGTATTGAAGGATAGTTCAGGAGCGTGACAGACGAACTATTTTATCATTTCCTGGAGCTATTATTTAAATTGCACACCTTAACAAACTACATTTTTGGTGTTCGTGAAAAACTGGTATTGTGAACTTGATTCAGCTTCATTCAAGGATAAATAATTGAACAGAAGTCCTGAAAAATAGGGAAATTAGGTCCAAAAGTCACCCTGTCACAGACCGTGCCTTATGACTGGCGCCTTTCGCTGTTGAACGACGTGTCGTCTTGGATGGAGAACGAACTGCCTCTACGCTCCCGCTGCACCACACATCAATAGCACTAGTCAAATGGTTGTTCTCTATTTCTTTTCCTAAACCTCATTTCAGGAGCTGACGGGAGAACTCATAGTCATAAATAACACTGGCAACGAACAACTAACGACTGACACCCAAAAAAGACGAGACAACAGAATAATATATATTATAATAGTGAAGGCGTACACCGGGGCAGAAGACGGTGCAGTGAGTCAAAATAGCCCAGCAGCGTGTGTAACGGTTCAGCAGCATGTACAAAGAAGAGACGCCAAGGCTGTGTTTACATGAGAAATTTCAACTCGGGTCGAGTTCAGCCCGGGTTGAAAGTCTGTACGATAGACAAAAGAGGTGAGCGTTTACATGAAGACAGTTGACCCGGGTCAAATACTGATATGCCACCAAAAGTCCACTTCTACAGTCCTGTAAGGTCACGTGAGTCCGTTCGCGCGAAATTTGCATTTGCAGTGCTGTTCAAACCTGGCGCGAGATACGCACAGAAGTACGTTTGTACGATTTTCTTAACCCGGGTTGATTTCAACCCTCCCCTTGGGGGGAGGGTTGAAATCAACCCGGGGTGAAATTTCAACCCGGGTCAAGAGCAATGCGTCATGTAAACGCGCCATTCACTTTGTGCACATGGCGGGCTGAAATCTGACCCGGGTTGAAATGCTTCATGTAAACACAGCCTAAAGCGGGATTCACAGAAGCTTTTTTGCGATGCGATACGCGATGCGACAGGCGCGAAACCGGGAAAACCCCAAATCGCAGCCATGTCGCACCCCACGCAACTGCCGCAACTGGGCCATCGCAGAAGTTGAGCTTGGCTCAACTTTTGCGATGCGATGCGATGCGACAAGCGATTTGGCGTACAATTTTGACCTTTTCTACAGCAAAGTTGTACAAAGGTTCAAGAGTTGCCTATAAATTTGTACAGGTTGTACCAAACCGCGCGAATATCATGGTGACGTACCCAAATCAGCAAAACTTTGTTGCATCGCTGACTTCTTCTGTGAATGGTATTTCGCGAGTTCGCATCGCAGGCGTTCGTCGCAGATCGCGTCGCATCGCGTGCCGCTTCGCAAAAAAGCTTCTGTGAATCCCGCTTAAAGCAGCAGCATGTACGACCAAGAGCTACACATGCAACCGCATGTACAACGAAGAGACACACACGCAGCCACATGCACAACAGACGCAACGACTGCAGCATGTCGCATCGTACGAATCGTACAAGTTTTTCAGCTCACCCCAGCCTTGCCGACTGGCCCTTACGTCCGTTACCGTCAGCATTGCGTCAAATGTGAACTAGGTTTTACGTGAAACACAAGCAAAATCGAATGAACGTAGAAGTGTTGAGGCATCATGCAGGCTCAGAAGACAAAGAGAAGTGTTGAGTGCACATGCTCTTTCCCAGGCACTGCAAAGGTCACAACTCATTTCACAGACTCATTTTTTCAATGTTTCAGCAAATTGTCTTCATCAGGTTGCAACATGAAATGCAAGTCTGCAAGGAGTAGATCTATTCTTTCAACTGTCACCTTCAAATTCTATTTTTAGAAGTTAATTGGGTTCTGGCTAAAAGGATGTTGATAAACAACAAATACAAACCTATAAAAATTGATGAAATGAGTTTCGTGAGGTGTTTGGAACTGTTCTCAATGCACTTCCATGGGAATTTCAAGCCAATCGTCCAATTTTCCGGTAAAACTCCCGCCAGTATACAGTTAAAAGCACTAGATTGGTCAAGACTGAGTATTCCTCAGTCAATCACAGGCTTCTATTCATGGTGTCTTTGTACTTGTTCAGTGTACCCAGCACTTCTATATTGCTTTCCCTGCCAGTTCTACCATCAGCTTCAACCATGACAACCCTCTGGGTATTGCAGGACACTCAAGTCCTATATGAGCTGCGACACGCTAAAAAAGTGTCTTAGGTCATGTTCAATTGTGTGAATCCATAAACCCCGGACCTAGATTCGCCAAACTCGTACATGTTCGATTGTACGATTTCGATCCCGGTCCCACGGATTCGGATCCAATCAACCCACTCCACAGAGCCAGATTCGACAGATTCATTTGCATCGTATCTACCCCAAACTCCAAATATGCGTACACTAGGTCAGGAGTTCGCCATAATGCGTACAGATACAACGAAATAGTACGGGGTGAGCTGTAACAACTCGTTTGCTAAGGTCTTGAAAAGGATCAGTTGTGCACATTCGACTGTATCCGTCTAATCGAAGTGATCTGGTGGGCGGGGATTGGGATCCAGTTTCAAAGTTTCAATCGAATGCAGCCTCAGGGTTTTGCCAACAAATCGAGAAAATCGCCAAAGAATCGCCAAATTCTGCTCCAGCGCGATCGCAAAAATATTATACTTTCAAGTCTGCAGAAAAAGAGGAAACAGGCCTTTTTATTTTTGAGCACACTTCTTCAGCGTTCCCTCTTTCATCATTGTGGGGATTTCCCCGCACTGCTAGAGATGGTAATGGAGCATTCTAGAGAATGTGGAGGTGAGCAGGATGACATTCTGTTTCCGTGTGGACCCAACCCTACTTGACGAGTAAGACTCGCTCATTCTTAGTGGCCGTGTTTCAGACCGTGGCCACGACTAGAGCAACTAGAATCCATTCATTGGAAACTGTCACCCTAACTTGCTGGTGTCTCCCGCGCATAGTTGTAGATATCGTGAAAACAACGGTACCCGCTGCATTGTGTGACCCCTGCAATTACTCCTTGCCACTTTTGAGAACTGGGAAATAGAAATTCAGCCAGGTTTTACAAAATTCGGACAGGTATTCCATGGCAAAATGAATGGAGAAGCAGATTCCAAACTCAGATTTGTGGATTTTTGATCCTCAATTCCGCCCAATTCGGACTTTCAAAAGCCAGCGGGACTGTTTCCGATGAATGGACTACAAGTAGGTGAGGGGAGACGTCTACAAGGTATTCTCTAGCTTCTGTTTGTTTTGCAGTTGTTCTTGTGCAACACCCCCCCCCCCATTTTTCGATTCCTAGTGGCAATGCTGACGCCAAAACCTCTGAGTCGGTTGAGTCCCAGCACATCGGCAAGTCGTCCCTACTATCGACTATGTTTTGTCTTTTTCCTTGTACCTTTTTTCTCCATCTGTTTCTAGTAGGGCTGTGTTAATATTAAAAATTACATAAAAAAGCCTTCTGGCTATCATTGTGACAAGCTACATAGTTAGTTAGCTCTTGCTGCCATGTTTCTCTTTGTTTCGGCTACCTTCAAGGGTTCATGACTTGCCGTACTGGATTCCAAAATGTCCTCATTTCATGGAAATATTGCCACAATATTTAAAGTGCCTGGACCCACTCAATACTTTTAAGGAGGCTCGTACCCGTATGCCCTTTGGGCATCCTTCTGTGCAGGTTTTTTATTTATTTTTCTATTTAATCCAAGCAGTACATGGCTGATGATTGTAACAAGAAAACGGTCCTGAACTAAACCTCGCTTTCCTTTTCTTGTGTGCCTTGCAATAATCGAACAACATTTTACACAAACAAGTCTACATATATGAAATGCTTACTGTGCAATTAGTCGTCTTTGAAGCTATAATAAAAGTAACATCTTTACCAAATTTAGAGGACATCCAGGAAGCTGTTTCAATTTTTGGTAGCCGTAATGTGTAAATTTACTCCCAAATCGACAAGTTGAGAGCACTTGGCACAAAATGCATCTCGTAGCTGTGGGGGTTAGGGCCTGTTCAGACTGCAGCAAATTTTCAGTGCCTGACGAAAAAAGAAAACCGTCCAGAATTTGAATCGCGATCACGCTACAGTGATTGCCTCAGGGGCCTTTGGGTCTGCCGCGTCAGCCAGTTTGCTTCGTCGTTCGTTCCCCATCACGTCACTATTGGACAAGTACAATCAGCCGCAGTATCCTGGGTTTTGTGGCACATGCAATAATTAACTTTTCTGGTGTTAGACTGACTGCTGTTTTTTTTTGCGCCCCCCCCCCCCCCTTTTCACACATGCTACATGTTCCTGTCCTTGCCATGAGCGCGTGTCGTTATCACCTGACCTTGTTATCACTTTTGTCACTTTTGTCACTTAGGGTATTCCACGTTTCCATGCAGAATGAGCGCAATTGCGCCAATTTAGCCCTATAAAGATCAGTCTATTCTTATTATTCTTTCATTCAACATCATATGCCTCCACTGATGAGCTCACGAGGAGCTGTCTGGAGGGAGAATGTCAATATAAATCTATACCGGAATTGCCCTCGCTTTGGTGATGGTGATGTGAGTGAAGAGTTTGGATCGGCCAAGAGCGCAATGTGGTGGTATGGTGTATTGGATTCTAACAAATATATTCAAATCTATTATCACACAGGACCAAACGTGGAAATTTGATATGACCAAAGTTAGATGAAAGTTTTTTGGGCATTGCCCCCTACGTAACATGGGGATAGAATATTGTGCAATGGATATTGGTAGGCAAAGGTCTCAGATTGGCTTCTCTTCAGGATTGAGAACTCGAAATGGCCATGGTTTCATATTTGGAAATTGTGCTTCTTTGCGTGTGTTTGTAGCGTGTGTTTCCAGACGACAAGCTGAAAGAGATCCTACGTTAATGACTGGCAATATTACATGCCCTTTTGACGGTAAGTATTTGTCGTCTCAGTCTGTAGTCTGAAAAGAGACCACTCAAATGGGAATGATGTACAATGGATGGACAGTCCTGCTCCATGAAATCCAGCCGGCGTCACTCAAGTTTGCACATTCGATCAATTATCAGCCCAGTGTTCGCAGGGCTATGGTTGCATAGCGCCCCCCGTGTACTTGAGTAATATGTCTGGATTTAATTGAGCGGCACTGTATAAGTAAATGCCTGAAATTTTTATTTTATCCCCTGCAATTAACCTGTTGACTGGAGACAGAAGACTGGAGACAGAAGCGGACTTGGCTTAATTTCAGTGTATTCTAATGCATTGTTCTTTGGCCTTTGTACGAGTGCTGTGGTATTATTATTATTATTATTATTATTATTTGTAAGAAAAGGGTTTGCTCCCCACACCGGAGCTCGCGCTATTCCGCCGACTTTACTTGACACTTTTCTTACAAATCATCGCCGAGGTCGCAACCACTACTTCGTATTATTATTATTATTATTATTATTATTATTAAGAAAAGGGTTTGCTCCCCACACTCGCGCTATTCCGCCGACTTTACTTGACACTTGACTGACTCAGGACTGCCATCCAGAGCACACGAGAAGTCCATCGAACCTTCGACTCCACAAACCTGCAAGAAAGCACCACTCCCTGCCCAATACACAGTGTTTCGGGGAATTCACCCCTCATCAGTTGAGTAGGCTGAGGAAGATTGTGCCTGAAGAGCACCACTTATATAGTGCTCTCCAGGCACGACCATCACCAGGGATACAAACTTACAGAGACGCTCCGTTTTCAGCGCGACAAACACCTCGTGAGCACCATATATAGCAGCGTGAGTCAGTGTCGCTCCTGGACGGTGAGACAGACGTCGAGGACCCTCGGTCATTCGCAACGCTGTCACCTCCAAACCAACTAGTCGCAATCCCGCGCTGGGCACAACAGTACGAAGTAGTGGTTGCGACCTCAGCGAAGATTTGTAAGAAAAGGGTTTGCTCCCCACACCGGAGCTCTCGCTATTCCGCCGACTTGACTTGACACTTGACTGACTCCCGACTGTCATCCAGAGCACACGAGAAGTCCATTGAACCTTCAACTGGGCAAACCTGCAAGAAATCACTGCCTGCTCAATACACAGTGTTTCGGGGAATTCACCCTTCATCAGTTGAGCTTGAGTAAGCTTAATTTGTGTGTACAGAAAGATAGTATAATAATAATAAACACAGCTCGCATCTTCCCTGAACCTGTTAGACAGGATAGTATAATTGGGTTGGAATTGTTCAAGTAAAGTGTCATGTTTGGTGCGGCCGAGCTTGGCCGTTAATGTTCTAGGTGCAATGTACTGCTGTTATTTGTTATCACTTTGTCCTTCCTTCTTTCTTTCTCTTCTTTGTTCACTTTTCAGTTGCAAGTTTAGTGTTAGTACGCACATTCGTTATTGCTCTCGCTTTCATTGTTAAAATTCACACTTGTAAAGTTCACTGCTGTTGTTCTGTATAGTGTTATTTCTCTAACTTAGATTTTCTACTTGATAGTTCAATTTTGTTTTCAGTGTCCTTTAGTACAACGAAGATTCCTGATGTAGGAAAACTCGTTTGAATCCCTTTCTTTCTCTACACAATTTCTTCACATTTTTCATCGTTTTATTGCACATTGTCTCCACAGTTTTACAATACATGAATACAGTGTACACAAATGTCGATCCAGCTTGGATTACTGATTGCGGTTATCAAATTGTTGTCTCCTCGCCGTTTGTTCAAATAGTAATAATAATAATACAGCTTTCCTGGATAGGAAGTTTGAAATTGTGTGTTGCCATGACAATGTTTGTACTGCTGTTTTTCTCCACATGACTGCAGAACTGGTCGGCCACGAACTTTGCCCTTCATCCCGGACGGTGTTGAAAAGAAGTATGCCTGCACTCCTGTTCAATTACAATGACGCTAAAGCCTTTTGTAGATATTACAAGGGAACAATTCTCTCTAAGGCATCATTCGATAACCAATGTCCAGGGGATTTGATAAATACTGATTACACTGCATGGCTGGGATTACCTATGGACGACGGAAATGTACTTAATACGAAAGGTTCGCCAACACACCCGTCTACTAAGCTGTATGCTGTGTGTGAGATAAGTAAGTTACCCTTCAATTTGGTTTTAGCTGGTAGTACTTGGGCATTATGTTTAATTAAGGTGTGACATTGCGGTTTTGAAAAGGTTCCTAAATGGTTTTGTGTCCAAGCACTAGAATGAAAGTCTAGAGGCCGCCATTATGACTTGTGGCACCACAACTTGCACCGCAAGGCCGCCTACTTCTCTACACGGCTTGTTTGTCAGCTCTTTTTTTGGCTTTCTTTTTTACTTTAACAAAGGCACAGGCGACGGTCATGTTCCACTCTACGTTATGGAACTGCCACGGCAAGAATCCCGACAACTTTCCTGGGAAAGCCACCCCAAGAATCCTGGCAACTCTCCCGGGAATGCCACGCCAAGACTCCCGACAACTCTCCCGGCAGCTCTCTTCACTTTCCCGTAACTTAAAGAAAACCTGTTCTGCTCTATGTCCACGTAGAGAAATTATGTGCAATGTGTACCAGGACTTCTCCTTCCATATTTGGCAGTTTTCTGCCTGCATTTGATCGGTACAGTACCCAGCGGATCTGTACGCATTTTCTCAGCGTTTAGAAGTAGTAGTCTTTTATTTTATTTATTTATAGTGGAGAAACCAAAAACAGGCAGATGCCTAAGAACAATGGACCCACTGTGTAGGGTGATGCAAGAGGGGGGGGGGGGGGGGCATGGCTAATGATAAATAGTGGCGGCGAAATAGAGCAGTTCTAGAACAGATACAGAAACATGGGCGTAAAGCTAAAAGAAGGCAAGAATGTGTTGCAAAGCGCTTGACTTGAAGGCGACATAGAGCAGTTGCAGCATAGCTAGAGAAACATGGTCATAAAGCTAAAAGCAGGCAAGAATGTGTTGCAAAGCGCTTGACATGAGGACGGCCAGTTTGGTGACGACTCGGAAATCCGCATGGAGGGAATTCCAGAGAACAGCATGTGTCACCAATTTGGTAGAATGTGCAGAAGCAGCGGCAGGGACGATAAGCAGGTTACTGTTGCCGCGTCGAGTTCTTCGTGACGAAAGAGGTCGAAAAAAGTTTCAAACAATCTACTTCCTGAAGAATTTAGACAACGCCATATAAAGCAGAGCAAGTCAAGTTGAATGGAAGCGCACAAGAGAGAGACAAGTACACGCTCAGGCAGCGTAACAGTGGGGGCCCATGGGGGCACTTTACATACAGCATGCAGGAGCTCCTGGTGAACAGATAGATATGGGGCATAAGCATTGGATGCATACAGAAACTCAGGCAGCACAAAGCATTTGAAGTAGGAGATACGACATGAGAGGGGTAAAGATGCAGCATGGCGGACTAAGACAGCTGTTTTTGCAGAAACCCTGATAACAACAAAAATGAACCATTGTCTGCCAGCTCATTGACGTGTCAAAATGCAAGCCTAGGTACTTGGCCGACGGTACCACCGGCAGATCTTGACGTTTGCAACAATGTAGAGAACTTCATATCCGCTTAGAAATCTGGACACAAAACACGGGAAGCTGTAGACTCTAAACCAGTCACCTAATCTCTACGTGAATTTCTCTAGGTCTCACGTCTCATTTGACCCCACGCGACCACACGACGCTTGAAGATCACAGCACGAACAGTTCACCAGCCACACTCCACGAAAGCAAGTAGTAGCGACCTATTCCTGTGTACCTCTCCTTCTCATTGTGAATGATTTAGCACTTTTGATAGTTGTGTCTGGCAGGGTTCAGAACACCCCCATTCTGCACTATTCCTTTGTGTTGATTTTGTCACATATGTGAGTTAGTTGAGTGTTTACACCTCAGTGCGCCAATATCTTTTCTATAAAATAGCATTATTCCCGTAGCTATGCAGAAGACGTTACTTCAGTAACGTCTGGCGCTAGCCAGGGTCCACACAGCTTTAATTTGGTATTTGTGTTTGTGTGTTTGTTTGTTTGTTTGTGTCACGCCTGGCGCTATCCGTATCTGACGGCCAAAAAGCATAGGATGTTATATATTTTTCAATTCTCCTTTTTTCCGGGCATATCCTGGGATTCGAACCCGCACTATCGCCCTACATGGTAGTATCCCTGCCTGGCTGATACGGAAGTAATACGGAAGTAATACGGAAGCAATACGGAGCGACCTTATGTATATTAATTTTAGTGTATCTTAGCATATAAGCGTACGGCGTTTGCTGCATAAAAGCAGCTGCGCTTTTTCTGTTTTAATTAGATTAGATTAGATTGGATAGCAATGAAAGCTAACTCGAAGAATAAGGATTCAACCTCTAGGTGAGCCCCGGAGAGAAAGTTATTTATTTTGCCGCTTCTTGTTTCACTAACGATTATATCTCAGGTGTGTACCTGAAAGTAGAATAAAAGTAATTCTTGTTGATTTCACCGCGCCTACCACTCGGCTACCCATTACATTGGTGGCAGCGGTGGGATTTGAACCCACGCCTCCGGAGAGACTGGAGCCAGTCTTTGCTCGCCAGCTACTTGAACTAGACCGCCAAACAAGTGTTTGAACAAAATTTGAGAAGATGATCGCCACAATCATCATGAATGAAGTGCAGAGTGAACGCGCTTCAAAAAAACTTTTTTTCATTTCGTCATTTCCCAACTTTTCTACGAAACCCCAAAGACATGTTTTAGCTGATCGCGGCCCATATTATATTGGCTCAACATCCGAGTTTCAAATCGACTTTAGTCCGACGTCCGCATCTAGTGATACTAGAGCAGCTCGCAGGGCCAGACGATCGCTGTGCATGGCCCAGGTTTGTTCAGGTGCCTGCAAGTCCGTGGCGGAGGGTCTGCAGAGCGACGCTGACAATTTGTTGGGATCTCAGTGATGTTGATGGTGACAGCGAAGCTGACTCATCCCCATCGTCTCTAGTAGTGAAGAGGCACAAGTTGTGCCTCTTCTGTTCCAAGTCATTAGGCAGCTAACCGACTGCCTTGCGACGTTACTTGCGTTCAGCTCTCATGAGTCGTCTGACGCAGTCTCGGAAGCGCAGGCGACGATCGAAAGTGTCATTGCCAGAATCGAAAGAGTATGCAAGTGCAACGCCGCCCAGAGCATCATGTTGCTTTCCAGGAAGAACTTGGGCCATGCCTTTGAACTAATGTCGTTGACATGCACAAGTCTATGTCAACATCTTTAGTTCCGTTGTATTGTGCTCTGCCACAAAGTAATAGTTTGTCTCTTTGTGTCAGACTGTGCGAAAACTGTCATTTTCTATTTCAAAGTACTTATTTTGAAAGCGGTGTTTGGGGCACTTGTAGACTACTTTCTGCCCTGTATCACCTTCAAGAGGTGAAGTAAGGTCCCAAGAACTGTTTTCTGGAGGAAAACAAAAACTTGTTTTAGCTGGTTGTGGCCCATATGTAGAAAGGAAGAGCACATATGGATACGAGTTAAGAGTAACTCTCCATCACTGTAACTGGATACTATATTATACAGTCAGAAAGTGCAATAACTAGGCAAAACCTGACACAGTACTGAGACATTCGACGTCCTGACACCTAGCTTCAACACATCTCCGTAGCGCTAACCGACAGCCTTCCAACTTGGAAGGTTCAATGTTATGGAAAGACAGAAAAGGGGAAGGCAAGTGCAACGAAAACGAGCAAAAGCTACAGCCCAAACGCAACAAAGATTGTCGATTGTTACTGACGAGACCAGTACGATATTTGACAAAGCGGTCTAACTACAATTCGAAGCAGCAAAGCAGCACACCATCCAACTTGGCTGGGTCATAAGTATCAAAGGCAAATAAGGAAAGGGGAAGCTTTGCGAAACGAATTGCACAAGCCGAAAGCCAAACTCCTACAGTACTCCTCATGCATGGCAGTGTGATGGACTAGTTGACTACAGAACAAGTTGTTTCACACAACGTTTCGCCGTTTTGTGGCTAGTTATTGCACTTTCTGACTGTATAATAATAATAATAATAATAATAATAATAATAGTATCCAGTTACAGGGATGGAGAGTTACTCTTAACTCGTATCCATATGTCCTTTTTCCTTTCTACATAAAGTCGATTTGTCCAACTATTAAATACACACTATACAATCTCTTATGGTCTTATGGTCTTATGGTCTTATGGTCTTATGGTCTTATGGTCTTATGGTCTTATGGTCTTATGGTCGTCTTATGGTCTTATGGTCGTCTTATGGTCTTATGGTCGTCTTATGCTCTTATGCTCTTATGCTCTTATGCTCTTATGCTCTTATGCTCTTATGCTCTTATGCTCTTATGCTCTTATGCTCTTATGCTCTTATGCTCTTATGCTCTTATGCTCTTATGCTCTTATGCTCTTATGCTCTTATGCTCTTATGCTCTTATGCTCTTATGCTCTTATGCTCTTATGCTCTTATGCTCTTATGCTCTTATGCTCTTATGCTCTTATGCTCTTATGCTCTTATGCTCTTATGCTCTTATGCTCTTATGCTCTTATGCTCTTATGCTCTTATGCTCTTATGCTCTTATGCTCTTATGCTCTTATGCTCTTATGCTCTTATGCTCTTATGCTCTTATGCTCTTATGCTCTTATGCTCTTATGCTCTTATGCTCTTATGCTCTTATGCTCTTATGCTCTTATGCTCTTATGCTCTTATGCTCTTATGCTCTTATGCTCTTATGCTCTTATGCTCTTATGCTCTTATGCTCTTATGCTCTTATGCTCTTATGCTCTTATGCTCTTATGCTCTTATGCTCTTATGCTCTTATGCTCTTATGCTCTTATGCTCTTATGCTCTTATGCTCTTATGCTCTTATGCTCTTATGCTCTTATGCTCTTATGCTCTTATGCTCTTATGCTCTTATGCTCTTATGCTCTTATGCTCTTATGCTCTTATGCTCTTATGCTCTTATGCTCTTATGCTCTTATGCTCTTATGCTCTTATGCTCTTATGCTCTTATGCTCTTATGCTCTTATGCTCTTATGCTCTTATGCTCTTATGCTCTTATGCTCTTATGCTCTTATGCTCTTATGCTCTTATGCTCTTATGCTCTTATGCTCTTATGCTCTTATGCTCTTATGCTCTTATGCTCTTATGCTCTTATGCTCTTATGCTCTTATGCTCTTATGCTCTTATGCTCTTATGCTCTTATGCTCTTATGCTCTTATGCTCTTATGCTCTTATGCTCTTATGCTCTTATGCTCTTATGCTCTTATGCTCTTATGCTCTTATGCTCTTATGCTCTTATGCTCTTATGCTCTTATGCTCTTAGGCTCTTAGGGTCTTAGGGTCTTAGGGTCTTAGGGTCTTAGGGTCTTAGGGTCTTAGGGTCTTAGGGTCTTAGGGTCTTAGGGTCTTAGGGTCTTAGGGTCTTAGGGTCTTAGGGTCTTAGGGTCTTAGGGTCTTAGGGTCTTAGGGTCTTAGGGTCTTAGGGTCTTAGGGTCTTAGGGTCTTAGGGTCTTAGGGTCTTAGGGTCTTAGGGTCTTAGGGTCTTAGGGTCTTAGGGTCTTAGGGTCTTAGGGTCTTAGGGTCTTAGGGTCTTAGGGTCTTAGGGTCTTAGGGTCTTAGGGTCTTAGGGTCTTAGGGTCTTAGGGTCTTAGGGTCTTAGGGTCTTGTGGTCTTGTGGTCTTGTGGTCTTGTGGTCTTGTGGTCTTGTGGTCTTGTGGTCTTGTGGTCTTGTGGTCTTGTGGTCTTGTGGTCTTGTGGTCTTGTGGTCTTGTGGTCTTGTGGTCTTGTGGTCTTGTGGTCTTGTGGTCTTATGGTCGTCTTATGGTCGTCTTATGGTCGTCTTATGGTCGTCTTATGGTCGTCTTATGGTCGTCTTATGGTCGTCTTATGGTCGTCTTATGGTCGTCTTATGGTCGTCTTATGGTCGTCTTATGGTCGTCTTATGGTCGTCTTATGGTCGTCTTATGGTCGTTGATGGATGTTCCGTATCAGGCTTCCCGGTTAAGCCGGTTGAAGGCGTTCGAAGCGTCGGCGAGCAATATGGCATCCGCATCCTCCTCACGGTAGACATCATGCATGGCATGGATGGCAGCTTCAATGCCGCACTCCTGACCGGCACACAGTTGAAGGTTGCCCGCTGCATCCTGGATATCTCTCCACGTGACAGTGAGGATGGTTTTGCTGAAAATGCGCCTGGCCACTTCGCCGATACCAACGGGTCGAACACCCGGCGATTTGTCAAGGGCTGTTAGTCTGCATGCGTTGACCGCCCCTAGTGTCGCTGGGTTGACGTATGTGGTAGCAATGCGACGAGCGCATGTCGTAAGCAAGTCACACAGCTCATTGGACGCTTCGTAGAACGCGGTGCACATGCGCCGTCACCCATTGGCGTCCACGCCCGATGGCCCAGCCGTGCGATGGGTGTGCAGAGCGGCACGGCGGATGACGTCACGGGTCAGCCTTGAGAACATCACACTGTTGGGCTGAACATGTGGCTCACCCGTGAGCAGAGACTCTGCATCAGCCGGCTCCCCTGCAAGATATTTGCTGACTAGAAGATCACGGGTGGTGTCAGTGCCGGCAGCGGTGTACACGCTGAGAACTCCTTTGCAGCCACCACTTGATAGCTGATGGAGGGCAGATAGTAGTTTGCCGGAGGACACATTAGTGGCGAACGCCCTTGCAAGGTCATGGGGGGGGGGGGGGGTCGATCGGGCGGCTGGCTGGTGCCTGTCCTGGACCTGCTTCTGGAAGTTGGTTGGCTCGCGGAGCAGTTCCGGCAGGCTTGCTATTCGCCAAAGTTCAAGACGTATCTTTAGGTGTTCCTGTGGAGACGGCTTGGTGTGGTTGCCCTGCGGGTTCTATAACATCAGCTGTGGGAAGACCATCGCGGCCTTGAGTGCAACATCTTCTGATTCGGAGGCACTGCCAAAGCTGTGGAAGAAGGCACTCAGCTAGGAAATAAACGAGCGACCGACGGTTCCCTGGGGAACTGGGAACAGGTTGGGGCGGAAGTGGACGACAACCTCATAATCCTCAACGATGGCTGTTACAGAGCCTTCCCCTGCCAGTTCTTCAAATCGGAATGCGGTGCGGTCCAGTGATGGGAAGACCTGCAGCGTCCTCAACACCAGCCGGGCCCCCCAGTGGCTGTTGCATTTGTGACGAAGTTGGGAGTGCTAGAGGGTTGGCTGTCACCGGCATCCAGTGTGGCCAATTGGTGGGTTGCCTGGCTGTCGGTGATGGTGTCAGGGCCAGTGTATTACTAGCCGAGTGCAACTCCTGATTTGTCACGTCCGGATTCGGCGCCACCGCGCTGCTTGCTGACCAGCGCTCCGCCGCTAGGGCGTCAATCCCGCTGGTGTTCACCCTGGCCTAGCATCATCGGATTGTACGGTTCGAACTGTTTCTGTAGCATCGTACTGCACCGTAGCCATATGGTTGCGGTCCTTCTTTGACAGAAGGCAGCTCCAGCATTTCCGTGCCGCCTTGGTGCAGTCACAACTGATGCAGGTGTCGCTGCCGTTGCACCGGCAACACTGGCCACTCTGCATCAGCGTGAGTTGCGAACGGAGCGACAGAAGCTAGGTAGAATTGATAGACGCAGTTGTAGCCGTAGAAAGCCAAAGAAAGCCGGAAAAGCTGGAGAACGTCAGAGCACAAAAAGTTCAAACCAGCCCGCATGGCTCGTTGATTGCTAGATTGTGCACGTCTGACTGTAATACTGTGTGATTTCTTCTTTTTTTAATTTGAAAATACTTCAAAATAGTCGAAGGAGGCTGCAGACACGTTCTTGCTTTATGTGTCTTTC